TCCTTGCCGTATTTCCGTTTTAATTCCTTTACGACCAGCTCGTAATTTTCTTCCTTCAGCTGGAATCTGTTTGCCACTTGTCTTGCTTCTCCTGTGAGGGCTTGCAGTAAGTAGTTGAACTTCATCATAGATGATATTGGCTGCTCATCTATGTTTGTCTTAAATATTGCCCAGAATGCGTCCCATTGTTGTCGTCTTCCCGAGAACTTCGGGAGCTCCAGACGTGGAAGAAGGGACTGCATCTGCATTGAGCTTAGGGATGTGGCTGGTGATGCTTGGCCGGCTTGTGGTAAATCCATCCTCTGTCTTCTTTCCAGCAGCTCCTCAAAGCATTCCAGGCGTGCTTCTATTTCTACTTGCTTCTCCCTCAGCTTCCCCAGCATGGCCTCGCCATTGGAGGTTGTATCCCACGCTCCTTCGAGGTATTCCTCTAGGCTCGCCTGCTCTCGTAACTGCTCTTCCTCGGATAGCTTTTCGAAACTATCCTCCAACGCAGTTATTGCGGTCTTCAGAATGGCTACCGACTCCTCGAGGTTGATTATTCTTTGACCGATTGATGCTTTCCTCCCTTTTAAAATATCCCTTGTTTCTTCAGGGCTTTCCAGAGTTGGAAGAGTGTACGTAGCCAGGACGTTTGACTCTCGTACTAATTCATCGACAGTTTTGCGTGTCTTTGTAAGGCGGCTCTTTATTGGTTTTATTGGTGCCATCGTATGTGTGTAAAAGTTGTTTCCGCTATTGTGTTTTGTTTGTCTTTTTTTTTTCTTCTCTTTTCTTTGAGTTTCCGTGTTCTCTGTATTCCTTTTTTTTCTTCCAACCCCTTTTTTCCAGTGTTTATTTGAAGAAAAAGAAAATGAAAAAATTTCAAGTTGATCTCACTCAAGTAGGCTTACTTGTTTTTAATCGGTTGCAACGGCTAAGCACGAACCTACGGCCGATGCACCAGTTTGTGTTGGAATGAAATTGGCCTAGATACCTGACTTTGGGCTTCTGCTTCTGGTTTTGGTGGTCCAGCTTGTTGTCCAACACAAAGGGGGGATAGCGTGGCTCAGACCGTTTCGTGCACACCTCAAACTTGGGTAATTAAACTTTATTTACCAAGTAAACGACGAAACACAACAACGAAATGTGAGATACAAAAGGTGAATCATGGAATAATGAATGACAAAGATCCTGGATATTTCTGAGCAATAAAGAGAAAGACACAAACAAATTGGAATGATAGAGAACAAATATGGAAAAGCCCTAACACTAGAACCCTAGGATGAGAACAAGAACTAAAACTAAGAAAAGGGCTCAGTGCCCTGCGTGACGGTAAAAGTGATCCATCGATCCTGCTGGCCCTCTTTTATAGCGGCGCATCGCGCGTTGATCTCCTTTGACTGGGTGCTGCAATGGGTGCTGCGATCCAGCACATGTGGAAATGCATACATTGCAATGTTTCGACAAATGCCGTGAGAAGCTCTACGCATTCTGTTGGAAGGTAGTAGCTTTATACCAAATTCAATCCTACCAAGGCACGCATCAATGCTGAACAGCGATTCCTTAGAAAGGATGTGCAAGACTTCTTCTATGATTATCTTTTACAAATAGAGTTGGTCTATATGTTTTGGTAGGAGTACAAATTAACTCACAAAACAACTGCCATCAAGCAGTTTAGTTAAAGGCACTATGATGGTTTTTGATAGAGTTTTGCTCCTCTCTTTTGTTCTAAGTCAAGGTTTACGCAAAACATTCGAAGACTTTGATTTGACCAACAAATATTGTGCGCTTGATACATTGATACATTCCACTTGAGATTCCCGTTCGCATCTCAATACAGTTTCAGGTATGAACGCATGTCAGAAACAAAAGACTGTAGTACTGTCTATCAGCGTCGAATGGACTAACAGAACATTTTAGAATGTTTTTTGCCTACGAAGCGACTACCCTAATTTCACGGGTACAAGGCGCACCTTTTTCGATTTTCCAATTCAGTCCCTCAGCCGCTTCACTGTATTTTGCAAAGCGATCCTTATACCGTACGATTCTCTCAAGCAATATACAGCACCGCATAGGGTTCTTTGGTTGCAAAGTCCTTCGGCGTGTTTGGGCTGGTCGATTTTGGAAAAAAATCCCCCCCCCCGCCTTGTACGCGTGAAATTAGGGTAACAAAAGCAAAAGCTTTGAGAGCAGGCAGGCATTACCGTATCCGAATCATATTATTCCAGCATTACCAAGAAATTCTAGCTATACAATATTCGCGGTACGAATTGTGGCATGGAACATGAAGCACCGAAACTTTCTTTTTTCTAAACCGCGATGGTCACATCGCTTTCTGTATGCAAAAAAACACATTCGTTGGCATACAATGTAACTGCAATCAACTTTATGCCGACAAGCAAAGAATCTTTCGCTATACGGCAGAACCATATGCAAAAAATCACCTACGCGGCGAACTGTGTGCAAAGAATCACAAGTTCACTGTGTTTAGTGTGCTCCGGGAGCATAAAAAATGCGCGCCGGCTAGATTCGCACTGGGTCAAGGGCTTTGACATTCGGTGCGTGGGCGAGCGCGCGCTCCCCGTGCGGCGCTTTGTAGTGCGCGTGGGCCGAAGATGAATGCGCGCGGGCCGCACGGTATCGAAAGCGCCCCGTCCGCAAGCTACTGAAGAATATGTCTTTCATAAAGCTTCTTTTTCTTCTTTTGTCGTGCCGTGAGCATTCTCAACTTCACAGTCCAAAAAATTCCAAATTTAAAAAATTCGAAAATTTGAATTTGAGTTCGAAAATTCAGATTTAGCACCCATTCGGGACGCTGTCGAGGGATAACCTTCGTAGAAGCAAAGAACCTCTCATGTTCCTGCGACTACTCAAATGCCAAGAAATGATAAGCCAGCTCCACAAGTATGGAGGAGCCTAATCACAGCGTCGTACCTCACGCGGGTACCCGTTACGCTTATAGCGTGTGAGAATTGGAGGCGCGCGGGCCGTACGCTAAGGATTCAAGGCGCGCGGGACGCACGGTACATGACCCCGCCAATAAATCTAGGCGCGCGGGCCGCACTGCTGGCCATTAACACGTTTCGGACCGGTGCTGCACATGGTGCAGCACGCGTCTTTCAAGGATCTTTTTATTGTTTGCAGGAGGTTTTCTTTTTGTCCAAGTTTATCAAGTCAAAGTCCCAAGCTTCTACTTCTCAAATGACTCTGTAGAATTGTGCCGCCTCCATTTGTTTGGGAGATATAAGCGCAAATCGAACGACAGTTGCAACGAGGTGCGGCAACGCGAACGACGCGTGCGACGTCGCAACTTTTCTTTGCTTCGATCTCAAGGAGAAAAACCGTAGTTTCAATACTGATGTGTATCGTATGCAACATAAATACAGGGCTTATCAAACGCAGTGTCGCTTGCATAGCATCTCCACTCCCGCGCTGTACTCTGCATCTCTTCCGCGAACATGCTCTCTGATCTTCTTCCCAGGGCGGGCGTGGGGAAGGCGGAGCCTCAATCGATTGAAGTTGATTAAAAAGCATGTTCGCGGAAGAGACGCAGAGTCTAGCGCGGGAGTGCTGATGCAAGCGACACTGCGTTTGATAAGTCCTGCACTTTTGGATGCAATTAGAAACTGAGTTCTTGTTCCTATCTTTCAGGAAAGCACAGAAGTCCTTCTCAGGCGACAAAATTAAAACACTTCGAATTCACTCAGAACTTTGGGTATGAATCTTATCTGACATGCTCATTGCAGGTGTAATACACAGTATACGAATTAATGTCTCTTTGTTGGTTAACGGCTGAAAGTACCCTCTTTTTCGCCGCGCGCGATTTCGCGGTCCGAAACGTGTTAACAAGCGCGCTCCGCACGCACCGAATGTCAGAGGGGCGCGCTTTGTGCAGCCATGTGTAGATTTAAAGGCAGCGTCCAGGCAGATCTGGACCTACGGGGATTTTACGCGGGAAGTACTTTTGAGCCCTAACTGAGGCACGGCTCAAGCGGCAGCGCAGGTAGTGCTCTAACGGGCTGCCTTTCGCTCTTTTTGACACGTTTCTCCTGGGATTTCAACGGAAGTGCCAAGGTTAACACGTTCAAAAGTGCGAAAGGCAGCGAGATGACGTGGTACCTATGGGAACCTCTCTGGGGCGCAGACGATATCTCAGCTGTTAGAGCACTACCTGAGCTGCCGGTTAGGCAGTGGCTTATTAGGACCCCAAAATTACTATCCACGTCAGATCCCCATGTGTCCAGACTTCCTGGACGCTGCCTTTAAGTACGTGTTTGTCGCGAGAAATCGCGACGATGAAATCGCGTGAACTCTGCCCGAGGCTTAAAATGGCCGGATACACTCCTATATCCGATGCCTGACAGTGGCGGACCGAGAGGGAAAGCTGAGATGGGGCAGGGGACTTTTTAAAAGTTGCCTATGAGTTTTGAAGTTGCACACGTCTTCACTGGTGAATTTGAAGTAATATCAAGTAATTGCAGAAAATCAAAAAGTTTTGTAAGAAATTTCGAAGGATTGGCTCCATGTCTTCAAAAATCGCGCTTGCACGAAAGAAGGAGGATTCGAATGAATTTAGTGGTTGGCACACCCAATTCTCCCCCCCCCCCTAGTATTAAGGTCGGGTAGCGCAGTTGTTTCAGATTGAGGCAGAATTACTCATCAACGACGAAGAAAACTGAATTTTTCTGGAGGACAATTTGCCTCAAGCAGCAGCTACACTTTTGAGGACATTCTTCATGGAGGGAGAAATCTATAATATTCACAATCACTCTCTCATTTCAGAGCTTTCTGGCAACATTTACCTCTAAAATCAATCGCTGACCTCAAATCATCCACGCGTTCTCCGCGTCTCCGTTTTTATCCGCCTGATGTGTGCGGAATGTGCAATCACAGCGTAAGGCGCGAATGAATGAATGGCGGGAATTTTGAGCTCATAGTCGCACATGTTTACCAGTCGTGAATATTTTTCTGGTGGTCGTGGTTCACAGTCTTTACTTTTGATTCAGACTTCCTTCTAGAACATGGAACAAGCTTATCTTCCTTCGGGACCGTATGCTGAGAAGGGCTTTTGCGTGAAGAACATCCCTGTAGGCTTCAACGACGTGAGATTTGTCGCGGTTTTTTTCTGCGGTTATTTACTATTTACTCATAGTGGGACATCTTCCACCTTTTCCGAAAGTTTGGCATTGTACACAACGTCAAAATACCGACCAAGCAAGGTCATACTAATTGCAAATATGGGTTTGTTTGAGAACGGTTTGATTGCGTAGATTTGCAATACCTTTTTTGTCAGCTTTGTTGTAATGGAAGACTTCAATGGGGTAGATGAAGTTCGTAATCAGTTGAAGAATGGGAAATTTCTTGCTGCCAACGGTGTTTGTCTGCAGGTATTGGTTATTATGCAGATTCTAGAATGTCTCTTCTAATATCTTCTTCAGGTCTCTAGTGTTCATCATGGTGAACAGCCACGACCACGCTTAGAAAATGGTGAAAGTAGTTCTCGGTTGGTTGATTGGTTGTCGAAAAAAAACCGGCTTATTCACTTGCTTACAGCCCTCCACTCAAAGATTTGCAACACAGTGGTCCGGGCAATTCCGGCAGGAATCGGGTTGCTGACAGACAACCTGCTCAGAAACCAACACAACCATCAACCTCCGTGAAATGCTTCCCCCAGGATCTCCCGCTTGATTGCCCTGTGAACGTAGGTTTTTCAACTGCAGACCACAATCTGAAAATTGGCCATCTGTTCAGGTTCGGGTTGTTGATTCGCCTTACCCTTCTGATGAGAAAGACTTTGTTTTCCATGTTATCCCTGTTGAGCAGAAACTTGGAGAGGAGTATGCTGTGCTTCAGCGTGAAATGAACAAATACTGCTTGACAAACCCCAATCTTCCTGAGGTACCTCAGGTGGGTTGCAACCTTATTTTTTCTTTGTAGGATCTGTCATAAATAATAGGAAAGAGATTCGGTAACCTTGTTCTGTCGCAATATCGTTGCATCAAGCTTGAATCCGTTTGTGCTGAATCACTTTCATGGTCAAGAAAAACGTGTTCGCTCATATTACACAGACGCTCTTTCTCTTCATTTCTTTCTAATTTGTCTCTGTCGTTGTGTGCAATACTTATAAGCTATAATCATTCAACTTCCATATGATTCTACCGTTCAGATTGGAGAGTATGCCCTATTCGGACGAGCATCGATTGCATATAGGGCGCTGTGCAATAGCGAGGAAACTATGTATCTCGTGGATACCGGTGAAACTGTAGCTATGAATAAATCCCAACTATGGACGATGACACACGCTTTTTCTCGATTACCTACTTTGGTTAGTGTCGCATGTCTCTTTGCTTTCTCGATGATTTCACTGTTTGAGGTTATTCCTTGTAAAATTTCCAACATTGAGTGGAAGAATCCGAGTGCGACGACATTTGACAGATATAAAAAGGTTAGAAGATCTTTGTTTAGTAGCAACATTCCTGAAAGCACTTATCAAAAGAATTTCTCAAGTTTTGGGTTGATATCACTCGCATTGAAAGTTCCAATCTTTTGTTCCTGATGACAAAAAAACTTTATGACGTAGATCAAGATAACAAAAAGTTGGAGATCAACAGTTTCTAGGCGCTAAGTGTGTGGTCCAGATCACTCTCGACAGGCCTAAAAGCAACTGCGTGTGGCTATGCAGGACTCAAAAATCTGGTTACTCTGGCTGCGACTACCGAAGATGGAAAGGGTAGGTTACGAGTTTTTGACTTACTTTGCAAATAAGGTCAAAGTTTAGATGTCGACGACTTTGCTACTGCCATTGCAAACAAAGGTGTGTGTACACAAACAAAGCACGAGTGTCACCGTTATTCTCGTGAAGACGTGTTGAATGCTAAGATGGCGTTGAAGGTAATGTTTGGAAACCTAGTATTCCATTTATTGTCTCGAAAACACTAAGAGCTGCCTTGACTAGTAAAAATGCAGTGCAAAATGCAAATTACCTCACCCGCTGTTTTGCCACACAGAATAAGTTCGACCGTGTTATGCTTTTTGTGCGCAGCCTGGGGTCTTCAGTCCATTGATAGTAGATATGTATTTGAAAAACTATGCGCCAGTTGACGATGCACCAATTGTGGCCCATCCCCAAACGAGTCTTGCTCATTTTTTCAAATTTTGCTTTTGAGTCTAGGATTGACGGCCTTTTTGACCGGAAATATGATTGAGCGGTCATCGTATGTACTCACTGCCGATCTCGTTGTGCGCAGGTTTCGTTAGGTGGAATCTCTCTGCGTCAATTGGAGCCGAATCTTTTTACTTTTCCTTCAGTCAAAAAAGAGAATAAACAAAAAGGAACGACAGGATCACGGAGTATACTTGATTTTTGGAGATAGATATTTAGAAATGTGTATTAATATTTCTATTCTGAGGTGTAATGCATATGAGAGTAATGTTATAAAACAAGAAAAATTAATTTAATCCGGTGGCAACACGCCAAAAAAGCTCTTGAAGAAGAAAGGGATTAAAAAGCGCTCAAGAAGAATTGGGAAGTTTTCAACACAACTGAAAAACCGACTTGTGGGTTCAGCGTCGTTGTCAGCTGCAGGTAGATTCCCAAAATGAGGAATCTACGCTTGTCAGATGTGCATTTCAAACAAGCGAAGAAAGTGATATTTGGATCTGGCGGAGGAGCAATAGAATCACACGAAAGATCTATCGGCTCTGATTTTTCGCCTCTAAATCCAATGGAAAACGTGGGATTCGGTGCGCGCGCGATCGAAGACGAAGAGCGGAAAATTGGAGTTCATGGACTTCTATCTAAGTCCAATATTTCCACGCATTCTCAGTAAACCACAGAACATTATAAGACATTCTGCCTTTCAAGAGAAAACGTATTACTCGATGCAGCTTGTTACGCCGACTTCAACTATTTCCAACTTTTTAATTCTCTCAAAAGAGAGTCAACTTTTTTTTTGTGATTTTGAATGGTTCATTCAAGCAAAATCACCAAATTTGATGGAAATTTTTGTTCCGCGCTGTGGAACGACGTTTGCGAAAAGGGTTTTCACATGAGATTGAAACTAGATAACTTGATCAAATCAACAAAGCGGGTGTGGGGGCGCTCTTATTACGCTGTTCTAGTAATTAACAGGGAGAGGCTTGAAACTTACACTTAGTAATCTAAATTCCAATCTCTTTTCCGAAAAAGTGGTATCTAAACACAGCAAGAGATGATTGCATCAAAAAAGTCTGCTGTTATTTTGGTTTCGCTGGCGACATTAAGAAACGAGTAATCGTTTGATCTTCATTACCGTAATGTAGGCCAGAAATAGCTGCCGAATTTGCTGCCTTTTAGGAAACTTCTGAATTGCCTCAGTAATTCAGTGGCGCTGAACCCGAAATGAAGGGTGTATTCGTGAGATCGTTCAAATTAGATATGTATTCTGATGAAACACCGAGGAAACATATATTGATGTATGTAGCTTCACTTTTGATCTAGATGTTTGTTATGATATATTAGGTTGATTCATAATTAATGCACGTTTTCTATACTTCAACTTTCAACCGAGATAGTTCTTTTTTGAAAAGACATTTCTGGGCGCAATAGAAACTACTATAACGATCAAATCAGTGGCTATAAAACAGATACTTTTGCGTGACTGTATCTATTACGAGAAAGATTTTTTGGTTTGAAGATTGCCAACAACTTTTTTCAGAAGCCTTTAAATTAAGAGAGCACAACTTATGTTGAAATGAAGTAGGATGAAGCAGACTTCGCTCGTCGTTAGCCAAGGGTTTCTTGAGCAGTAATGCCAAGTTTGGATTCTACGAAAAATTTTTGAAAGAAAATCTCGCGAAAAATTGAAAGTACTCACTTTTTCCCGACATCTCGGCGGGTTCAGAAATCGGTCATTTTTGAAATTATTTCATTTTTCTCCGCTGGAAAGTGAGAAAATCCTAGCGCTTTTCTACCATCAAATGAACTAGGTCCACCCTTGCTGGATAGTGCAAAAGACCTGCAATCGCCTTTTGATTCAAAGATTTACATGGCACGGAAGGGCAGCGACGACCATTCAAGTTCGCAATTGAATTTCTCAGCTCAGAATCCATGGAATATTTTGTTCAAAAAGCATCTTGTAGCACAAAGCTTCATAATCCTTATGCATATTTTTTGAAATTAATCCGGCTATTCCTCATGACTTTAGGGCAAAAAGAGTGAAAAGCAAAAATTTTGGGATTTAGTCTCTTTTATTTGAAGGCTTAGAACTTTGGAACGAAAGGAGATGTACAAAAGCGAAGGCCCACATTAGAAAGTAGAAAAGGCGCTCTCTTAGAAAGCTTAAAAGGTTTTTGAGGAAATTTGTTACACATCAAATACCAGCTCTTGGAAGAAGTGGTAGGAAAAACGTGCATTAATTATGAATCAACCTAATATATGAAAACACTCGTGTGAGGGCGGGAAGCAGTGGCCGTATTCATCAACGAACCCTAAGGGTAGTCCATATCCTCGAGGGTAAGTTTTACCCCAGAACGCATAAAACCCGTATTCACGAAGCACAGGGTAGGCTTGACCCCAAGAGTTAAATCTACCCTTGAGGGTAAACGTCTCCCGGAAAATGATCAATCCGTAGTCATCAAGACTCTGAGGGTAAACCTTACCCAGCAATCGACAAACCCGTTCTCACAACGTGGCTCATCAGAGTGAATTCAACCCTAATGGAGCAAGGTTGGATTTACCCTGACACTTCGTACAAAAATAATTTCTCGATTCCCCACGTCTCAACGATCCTGTTTTGACAACAAACACATTTCATACTATTATTATCTTAAATTTCAAACCAACAAGCCCTTTCTCGTCTCATCGTATGAGAAAAAGTAGAGTAAACTTTTTTAGTATTTTGTTAATCAGCTTCAGGTTTATCTAGTTGAGCTACGATAGTTTGATCAGGTATCGAATTACTCAATAAAGGAGTAAATTGGTGGACTAAAATATGAGTAAGGGAGTTTCATATCCATATTGCAAGAATTTTTCTTTAGATCTTGATGTTCGCCAAATCAAAGTCTTTAGTTGGACATTTACTTCATTCGGAACTAAATCTTTTATTATACCAACTCGGCCGAATATATTTCCGGATGATAATATCAAACGAAAACACAAAAAGATGCCATAGGAAGTTTGAGATAGTAGTTACCATGAATACGTGTTCATTGTCAAAACAGCATCGCTAGGACTGACGGACTTGTGAGTAGTGCTTTGAGAGATTAGATGTTTGTACGAAGTGTCAGAGTGAATCCAATCTTGCTCTATGCTTAATCTTACCCTGATGAGCCTTTTTAGTGAACTAGTTGGCAAACCCGGCTCCGCCCGGCCCTGTCAATAACATATTCGTAATCAGCATGCTCGATTACCCCCCTGTGCCAACTCCCAGCCCTGTAGCTCAAATTTTGCAAAAAATCGATATCGATCGATAACGAAAAGTAGCCTATGACACGCCCCCTGCCCCGAAGTATATGTGTGCCAAGTTTGGTCCCGATCGGTTCAGAAATAAAAATTTCTATTCCGCACATACGTACAGACAAACACACATTCAGCTTTATAGATAAGATACGGGCTAAACTCTATGGGGTAAGGTTTACCCCAATTCTATCCGACACGGGCCCAGATGGTGATCAAACTGGACTTCGTTTTTGAGGTAGAAGCAATGGGGATACTTTTTAAAGGTCCTGGGAGGAGCCTCGAAAAAAAAATGACAAACATGTTAGGTTCTACGAGTTGAGCACGTTCTTTGGCAAGCGCGCGATTTCAGATGCAAGACTCAAACAAATGGCTTGCTTACACCGCACAAATAACCACATGACACAAAATTTGGGCTATGTGTATACAATATTACTCCAAAAAACATTTTGTAAAAAGTTACAAAAACTTATGTGTCCTAATACCCATTCGCGAATTTGTTGGTTTTTTACTTTTAGACCAATACCAAACCAATTGGGTAGGTTCGAAGCATGAATACTGGAGAGTTCCATAAGTTTTGGACCTTTTTGTTTGGACGATTACGCTCAAAAATCTTGTATATAAAGCTGAATGTCTGTTTGTCTGTATGTCTGTCTGTCTGTATGTGTGTACGTATGTTCCGAATAGAAAATTCCATTTCTGAACCGATCCGGACCAAACTTGGCACACATACACTTTGGGGCGGGGAGGGTGTCGTAGGCTACTTTTCGTTATCGATCGATATCGATTTTATCGATTTTTTGCAAAATTTGAGCTACGGGGCTGGGAGTCGGCACAGGGGGTAATCGAGCATGCTGATTACAAATATATTATTGACAGGGCCGGGCGGAGCCGGGTAAGCCAGCTAGTCTATCATATAGTGAACAGAGCGAATCAAACCATTGCCTATACTCTTTTTTTCTTAATCCAAAATTAGCACCGCACTGATAGTAGCGCTCCAATCACATGCGGGGTCCTCCGAACAATGTGGCGAAAAATGCACCGCCAATTTGTTGAGGCTATGGATTTGGTTGGCCTAGGAGATTTTGGACATATAGCACTAAAATGGTACCATACTCAATGATAGAGCTGGTAATCAACTAAAAAATGTTTTTTCGCTTTTTTGCAATGTTAGACAAAATACGCCTTGTTCGCTTTTTTATTGTTTTGTTGATTGAATAAGGGTTTCCCTACTGATTCTGACGTCAGTGGGGACCGTAAAATCTAGTTAGGTCATGGGGGACTTCGTTTCCAAAAATGCTCCAAACCAACGCGTGCCCAGACCTGACAATGTCATGATCGTAAGTTTCCCTACGACAAAGATCGTCATGTCTCCGGTTAGGTCCCTACGGACATCTACACAAACCATGCAGCTTTACGCGTTACAATTGTATCGGTATCGCGCAGGCGCAGCCTATCGATGACGTAACGTTCATTACTCGAGGACGTCGTCTTCTTATGCGTATTCGGTCCAGCAGACTTTTAGACAAGTTAGCAGATTTATAAATCGACCATCTGAAGTCTCCATTCAACACAATATATTAGGTTGTTACATAAGTCTTGTTACACTTCAATTTCTTACGACGATAACTCGTGAATTTCATAATTTTAATAGGGCTCCAGGGTACCATTCGATAGAGCAAGGCAAGCTCTACAAGATAGTATGCAAGAGTCGCACAAGCTTCGACCCACCGTAAGTTTGCATCCGGTATATGAGCAGCATTGAAGGCTCAAAAAATGTGAAAAATTTATGTCTTTCTTCAAAATAATCCTCCACATCTCCAGCTCGATCACGCACATTGCCCACTATCAGATACTCATATGTACCGTTCCTGTATTTTTTCCTCATCTAGAAATCAAAAAAGGGAAATTTCTTAGGTTTTTACAAAAACGGAGCTATGTTGTTTCTATTCTTGTAGCTGTATACTACAAACTCTTAGAAGTATAAACCCTAAATTTTCAGCTCTCCAGAAGCCCTAGTTTTGGAAATACCCAATTTTAGCTTTTTCTCACTCGGGTGTTCAGTGCTAAATTAGGTAATTTTCGAAAACTAGGGCTTCCGGAGAGCTGAAAATTTACGGTTTACTTCTAAGGGCTTATTGTATATAATTACTTGAATAGAAACAATATAGCAACGTTTTTGTAAAAACCAAAAAATTTTCCTTTTATCAGTTTCTAGATGAGGAAAAATACAGCAACGGTACCTATGAGTGTTTGATATAGTGGGCAATTTTTATAAGCAAGTTGGAGATTTATAGGATAGAATCTGAACAAAGATATGAATTTTTTTCAATTTTTGCGCCTTCACTGCGACTAAGATTTTGGATGCAAAGTCACATTGAGTCGAAGTTGATGAGAACTTTTGCACACTATCTTATAGAGCTTGCTTTGCTCTATCGAATGATGTCCTGGAGCCCTGTAAAGACTATGAGGTGCATGACTAATCGCCGTTAGAAGTTAAGTGTTACAAGACTTATGTAACAACCTAATACGTGGTTATATGGGACATCCGTACTTAGATTTCCACTCTCAAATGTACTGCGCCTCCTTTCCCATCCGATTTCGTCATTAAATCAAGTATCGGCATGAGGAAGATCTGTCGAAGATTTGTTTCGGGTACTATGCAAATTTGCCTAAAACTGGGAACCATCACTATCTCATCAACTACTGGCTGCTCAAGTAGAGAGATTAGACTGTCGATAACGTCGATAATTTGTAGAACTTCGGAAATAACAACTTCGCTTTCCGTGCTCCCTCGCTGTCAAAAAACGTTACTTTTCAGCGTCCACCTTCATTTATCATTATCTAGAGTCGATTGTTATATAGCAATGGCAGTTACAAGTTTTATTCCATAGGACAAAAGCCTTGGAAATTTCAGGAAGCTCTAATTAGATCTGACTTATTTCGCACAGTTGGAGAATGCTAGAGTATTTTTATATAGAAAAAACTTACCCATCGTTTAACTCATGTGAGTCACTTCAAAACTACCCCACAAGCCATTCTCGGAGATAAATTAGGAGATATTTTTACCTTGCGTAAGATTATCCAGTAGAAGTATGAAAAAAAAAACAATTTTATTCTTAATTTTGAATACGTACAGTCCATCTCAACCTTGTGCTCCCTTTTCCACCAGCCAAACCGGAAAACGAGCCTCGTGCGCGTTCGCGCGCGCATAGTTTGCGCATTCAAAACTCGTCTCATCGATCGAGTTGCCGCGCTGGCCTCCTGCGGAGCGGATGCGTGACTGTTAGGGAAAAGAGGGCACCTTTTTGACATCAGCTGTGCTTTAGTTTTCTCTGACGACCTATTCAGCAGGTTGCAAGTGCGGAATAAATATTAATCTGCTTTTGCTCCTTTTTCTAACTGTGCATATTTAGGACAAAGACTACGCACCTCTGATCAACTGCAACGAGAACATTTCGGAGATAATTACAAGCTTGCAGACGATGTCTGTCGCGTGAAATTGCTGATACGGCTATACAGTTACTTCGAGCTCATCGATCACCTTTTTTTTCTTACCTTGTAAATTTATCGACTATTTACTATGATTTGCTCAATCAATCATTGACTGATTGGAGGTTAATAAATTTTGATTTTATTATCTTGTGAATTAGGACGTTGAAGTGGGAGCGATGGAGGATGGTCAAATATTTGAACTTCGCGGCATCTGTGCCTTAATCAGGTTCTAACAGGTACGGTATGCGGAGAGACGCCAAAAAAGGCCCAATTCCATTTTTAGCGCATTTTGGGCGGGAGTTTGATCTTGGTTCTTTTGAAAATGCTCTTTGATTGTTTTATCACTTCATTTCTGTGATTCACTTATTATTTGGTAGAAATACAGTCTAGTCAGATAAATAATCGCTAGGTCATAGGCAGTATGGAACTCCTATGGAAGTTTTCCGTCAAGAAGTAGTACTATGTAATTGCTACAGAACTATTATCTCCATGCATCTCTGTAAATTTTTGAATAATTTTGAGATAGTTTCGAATGCTCGAATGTAGGTGGTCTCAAAATTGCTTTTTTTCAGTAGCCAGATATGCATTCGTGTGCGTATCCGTACCGTTCTTCTTACGCTGTTTCTGGATCTCCCTTGAGAGGATATCATTCGTTGGCGCGACATGACGATAATGTAAACTACTTACATAAGGGAGGGAAAAATGCGAGATTTTGTGATAATTGCTAATTAAGGTGTTTCCATCGCTGTCAGCAGCAAGACCGTCGTCAACCAGGTGCCGGCGGCTGTCAACTGCGACAGGAGAATGCCGCTTAAAAAGTAGCGGTAGTGATGGTCAAAGTAGGGGCAAAACTGATTTTACTTTGAGAAAGACAAATTTTCAGAATCACCATCGTTTGGATCAGGTTCTCCGGATGGAGCATCGCATATGGACTGTTCGTTAGAGTATTTGGCAGATCTTGTGAAAGAGAAGAAAGACCTCGAAATGTTTGGCGATAATTTCCAACATGTGGATCGTCTACTTAGCGAGGGTAAGAGGGTTGGCCCCATGTAGGATGCAAAATTTGCTACTATAGCAACCAAAAATGCAAGAATGAGGAGAAAAAATTTCTAATTTGCTTGTGAAAATAAGTGGTACGTTACTCAAGTTGCTAAATGCTCAGGATTTTGGACTCTTACTCCAGAGTTGCATGCAAAAAGTTGCAAAAGTATCTAGAGTAGCTCTTGCGCGCTATCTGAACCGAATTACAAACCTTGAGCTCTATTTACTTCAAATTCTGATTCGCCAACCTTGCAACTCTCATTCTCTGCAACTCTCATTCTTCGTGTAACTTCGCTGCTAAGCTTGTGAGAGCCAAATAACAGTTCAATCAGGCGTTCTTGGTAATCAACATAGAAACGTTCTTTTCTGTGTTTTCTCTGAGAAGAGGATTACATTGTTCGAAAATTATTTCAGAGATATCTCGAGTGCGGGGTGCGCTGTTCCAAACAGAATTCGTAACAGAGCCATTCGATTTACCCGAACCAGTTGGTGATGTGGTGACAATAACCGAAAAAATCTACGTGCCGAAAAGAGAGTATCCAGATGTAAGTGGATGACATACGCAAGAAATGCGAAAACAAGTCCTACAAATAAAGAATGGTGGACCTTTTCATTTCATCTCTGGTATCACCTAAAGCTGATTTCGTCCCAGTCAACGCAATTTTGGATGTTAAATCATTCTAGAACGTACAAGCTATGTAAAATTTAATTGTTCGCGCCTAGCTTTGAACAAAGAAGGGCAGGGCAGATGGAAACGCCGGGTCCCGAGGCGCATTGGGCTTCTCAATGGCGAATGTGAACGCACACCATTTTCTGACAAATTTTCAAAGATTTTTAAAGGAATTTTTGTAAAGGCGGAAGATTTCTACTTTAAAGTTTGCGCATATAGTCCTTCGCTACAATCGCTCGCCTATATGGTGTTTAAGGCACGGCGCGGGCAGTTGGGTTTTACATGGCCTGTACACGAATTAAACGTTTCTGAGAATGTTTCCATTTACTTCACTTCATTCTGCGATACTGGTATAATTCTAGCAAATCTGAACAAAACCGGTACTGTTGTTTATCTGGTTTTCTGAAGGAAATTCTCTCCATGTAGAAGTAACATTTGCTGATGTGAAAGCTGTTAAGGTGGAAAATTTCAATGGTCAAAAAGTCGAAGTTTTTCAGTATAACTTTGTCGGACGAATACTTGGACCTCGCGGTATGACAGCCAAACAGCTTGAACAGGAAACTGGTTGCAAGATCATGGTCAGAGGCAAAGGCTCAATGCGTGACAAAAGAAAGGTTTGATTAGCATTGCACGTATTCGCGATTCACAGCACGCAAAGAGTGCGGACCTATCGGCGTCCCTCTGATTTCGTTCCTCCTACCGTCTGTTGCCTCTCCCGCACACGAACTATTTGGTCGGACGCAACGGCTCCCAGTCTTTGCGGGTCATGAATCGTATATGAGATTTGTCGCCAACGTAATGGTCAAGGAAGAAGCAAATCGCGGAAAACCAAACTGGGAGCATCTGGACGATGAGCTGCATGTTCTGCTGCAATGTGAAGACACTGAAAATAGAGCTAGAATAAAGCTGCACGCGGCCATGGAGCACGTGAAGAAACTACTAGTACCGGCGGTTGGTATTAAACATTTTTATTCATGTATAATGCCTCTAAGTTACTGTTAAGCCGGAGGGAACTGACGAACTAAAAAGGAAACAGCTAATGGAGCTCGCAATTATTAACGGAACATATCGACCGTTTCATAAATCTGGACTATGTATGTATTCTTCGTCGCATCGCAAATGAAATACCAAAACTTACATTGCAGCCAACTCGAATAGAATTCTAACTCCAGTACCACTTGTATCACCAATCCGTGCTCCTATCTTCGTTTCTCCGACAACCAGTCCTAATACTGTGAGGAATAAGCCTTCTGATTTTCGTAGTTTTGAATACAGTGCTTCCAGAAACCTGCCAATCCAGGATACATTGGAGCAGCTGCGCAACAACCTTTTGATTACTCTTCGTTTATGAAGTAAGTCATAGTGTCGGCCTTATTTCATCTTTCCTGAGTACTCTATTTTCGTGCATCTCCTGGCTTCAGTATGCGTCCTTATCAGACAGATCGCTTTTCTAGATATGAGATTTCTCAGTAGATCAGAGATTTGGGGTTTTTTCTATGGGAAATTTTTGCAACAGCTCTTCGAAAGGGACTGCAGTGGTAATGACAGAAACACTGTAGAAGGGAAGCTATGGTTTCAGATATTTTTCTGTGAACTGCGTCACTGCAGGAGGCAAACGCTAACATTCTGAATTTTCATCCAACAATGTACAATTTTTCTCCGAAAAGTTCTCCTGACCCTAGGAGGCACAGACTGTCAGATATAGGGTTTGCCAGATCGTGAAGCCATATTGACTGCGCACATTGCGTGTAGTTATGCCTCGCAGCCCCAAACTTTCCTGAACAGACGAGATCCCGCGCTGTTCAAAATCGCTTTCAATATTGAAAGCTAACAGCTGATAGCACTGAAGCACTTGACAGGAGAAAACTGAACAGGTATTAGCATATCGCGTGAGCAATGGCCGTACACCCGATCTTCAGACCAGGCGCGGTTCTGTGAGTGTGAAGTTGTGTTTAGATGTTTAGATGGTGAAGCATGGAGACGGATGTATGTACTGTCAGAAAGCTCATTTTTGCTTTTGTGGCCAAGAAACATCGAACTAGATTTTCGATAATTAGTTTCAAAAGTATTACACAGCTTCGCTTGAGATCGGCGTATCGGTTGCGACCATAACGCGTTCCTCAATATGAGTTTTTAGATTTTTTTCAGTGCTTTTCTTCCCTAAAATGCTAGCTTTTGTACTTGATGCGATTTGAAAAAAACCGAAGCTTTCGTTTGTCTATAGGGTCGGGCATACAATTTTGTCGCCTTCCGACAAGACAGATGCCACGAGTCCACTGGCCGATCACCTTACTCTCGGTTGTGATTTTAGTCAAGATTAGTCGTGTCGGAAAACTATCACAACCCAAATGCAAGATAATCGGCATGCAAAAGACTCGTGACAGTTGCCTGATCGGGAGAAGCGATGAAATAGCGTGATGTGTGCTCGGCCGTTAAATGCAGCATCCAGTACAAATCTGGACATATAGGGATTCCACGTAAAAAGTACCCTAATTTCCGGGGTATAAGGCGCAGTAGCTTTCACCGCGCGCGAGCTGATGATGATGGCGTACGCGATGCGCGGCGCCGCGCAAACACCAACAGCAACCTCTTTCATTCAGGATTAGCTTTTTGCTCCCTTTCTTTACTAGTTTCCTCTCAGTAATGATTTGTTTCAGAACAAATCTCTGCTATCTCTTCTATTCTTGAAGAATGACAAGAATAAAACAAACAGCGATTACAAAATATCAGTAGTATCCTTGTAAAGGAAAGCACAGTTTTGGTACCAGTGACATTATTGGAAACAAATGAAAGCACAAATGGAGCACGGGGATTAACCACAGCAGTCTTGAGTCTTCAGTTTTCTAGATTTAGAGAGCAATCGTTTAGAAAGCGTTTTCGCGCCATTGTTCGCTGCGGCGGGTGCGCCTTATACAAGGTGCGCCTTATACCCCGGAAATTAGGGTAATTTCGGAGCTCTAATTAAGACAGCCCAAGCGGCAGCTCAGATGGTGCATCACGGCTGAGATGCTCGACTCCAAACCGACCCTAGTATTGTGTTAAAGGTACCGTCCACCTTAAAGGCAGTAGGTCGGCAGAATGAGACCCGTGGCAAAACAAGGTCACAGGGTAGGAGCCCCCATAATGGGAATGGGCCTAAGTTCGATCTTTCTCTGCCACTTCTGACCCCCGAAATTTCAAAGAGAAAGCAGCGCTCATCTCCTCTCCTCTCCGACCTCACCCACCCCACGGATGAGTGAACGCGAAGCCCGTCATGGCGAAGACACAGAGTCGTTGCGGGACCTCATGCTTATAGCATTGCGGCTGGCGCTCTGACCGTGGAAGTCACTCGTCCATGGGGTGGGCGGGTTCGGAGAGGACAGGAGATGAGCGCTGCTTTAGCTTTGAAATTTCGGGGGTTAGAAGTGGCAGAGAAAGATCGAACTTTGGTCCATAGGTTCCATTATGGGGGCTCCTACCCTGTGACCTTGTTTTGCCACGGGTCTCATTCTGCCGACCTACTGCCTTTAAGTTGAGGGTCTTGAGCTTTTGACAGCATATGATAGTAGGGCCCCCTATAAGTCAGTGCTCAAGTCGCGACGCAATATTTGGTTTCGGAAGCGAGAAAATCACTCCTGAAACGAAGATGCACGAGGACCCTTAGAAGGCACCGCCCTCCCCATCCATGCCCGCACATCCGTGCGCGCCGCCGACCTTTGGGTTCATCAGAACGGGGATTGTCGGGATTTTCGCGGATTCTCGACTTCATATTCGGAATCAGGGACATAAAAGGCCTAAAGCACAAAAACCTGGAAGTCGAGACTCTGGGTGGACGGTGCCTTTGAGGGATGACTCGTCTTATGCTCACGTGGTTTCATACTTCCCGAAGCATGCTAGCAGGACGCAAGTCGTCCGTCAATGCGATTTTGGGGTTCAGTTTGGAGGCAATATTTCAGCCGTGAGTGAATCATTCGAGCTGCCGCGGGCAGTGTCTCAGCTAGTGCAACTTACTTTCCACGTGAGATCCTCATAGGTAATGACTTGCATGGACGCTGCCTCTAAGCAGTTTGGTGTTTAGCGCTGTAAGCACCTGCTGTTAGCTATAACTGACTGTCACATTCTGCAAGAGGCCTGTATGTAATTATACCTCTCCACGTCGCTGTTAACATGTGCACATTTTGTAACCGATGACTCGAGTGCCCAAAATCTAGCTTATCGCTTTAGGCTAGATGCCTGGCTGGTGCACGACTGCGGCGCTGGCCTGCGGGCTACACTTAAAGGCAGTGGATCGGCAAAGTGGACCCTTCTCGGACTTTAGTGGATTTAGATAGTAGACCTCCAGTAGATTGGAGCCCAAACCCCACTTACCAATTCATGCGCTAAACCCTGAGAACGCGCTTCAAACTTCCACGAATGACGCCCACTCAATGGAAGGGGACGTGATTGGTGGAAGTTTGAAGCGCGTTTTCAGGGCTTAGCGCATGAATTGGCAGGTGGGGTTTGGGCTGGAGCCTACTTAGGGGTCTACTACCTAAATCCACCAAAATCCGAGAGGGATTTTGCCAGTCCACTCTTTTAACTTGTGCGCGCATGAGACATACAACCCAATGCTGCGCGCTAACCAGTTCCGCTCGCAGGAGTTTATAAAGGCAGTACGGTCGATTTGGGCCTTCCCTCCGAGCGTACGCGCCTTAAATAGGTTATCCTTACTAATACGATTCAACCGTTTGCCCGTTTGCTATTGATCAGTTCAGTGATTTGACCAATAATGAAGGGGCGGATAAGTATGGGGCCTACCTTACCCTCAGGCGACTCGCAAGACTTAAGTCACCTGAGCAGTGATTGAAGCTAACGAGTGTAGAAAACGCCCAAAGGATACTTTAGCCAACCCGGCCTGGTTAAGCGAACCGCCGCGAAAGCCTGGCCAGCTGGAGGCCGTACCCTGTGAATGAGACAATTTATAGCTGCCCGTTTGCACAACCGACACTGCAGCAGTTAGTACATATGGATCCTAGTAGATTATCAGGAACTGGCACTCTATCCAAAACCTTGTTCGGTACATCAAACCTATCCTACTTTGAGTAAACAAGTAATTAGCTAGGGTCTGGGTCGAAGACCCGAACTATAAGTAGCAAAGTAATTCGAGTTACATCATGTATCTAATTTTGTAAGGGGATATAGGCATACTGAAGAAAATGTCATTTTGGAGAAGAAGATTTGTAGTACACTTGATGTACAGAGCCCCTCATAATTTTTTTTGCGAGAGAGTAGAACTGAATGTGTGAAAAAAGTGGTTTGAGTACACCGGCTAATTCTTCGTCAACCAACTATGTATATATTTAGTCCCAACTTCCTTGAATCAGCTTTGGCTTCTTTCCAAATTGCTAACGAGCTGCATCTTCCTACATTCCCGACAGCCACATCCTTAGTAAATTCATTCCCCTCGCTCTTCATGAATACGTCTTCGAACGCAGCCACAACACAAGACACTTCCACCACAGCTCCTTCTGTTAGTCCAACCAAGTGTTTTTGATACACATCCTCATTGCACTGACCTTTCATACTAGATTTTCTTTTTTTTCTTGGTTTTGTGTTTTCGTTGATTTTGGATTTTTCTTTTGTATGTGAGCATGCAATTCATCTATCGCTGCCTGTACAGTTAACAGAATGGCCGACTTTTATAACAAATTTCTAGGAATTATTGCATGTTACATTGAGTTTGTTTGCGCTTTCCATTACCATATCATAAAGACTCTCACATAGGCTTTCTTTTGAGACTAGCATTCAAGCAAATAAAGCAGCTGTACTTTCCACGCTCTAAGTTCGCACAGGAAACTTGAGTGAATCACCATTAAATGATTCACATTTGTGAGCAGCACTGACGACTGGAGGTGATCAATTCAAGACAAGCGCAGCGGTTTTTAGCCAATGCTAGTCTTATCTTTTCACTTTGCGTAATGCACACTTGCTTCTTCACTTTGTTTGTAGTCTCATTGTCGCAGTGTGATTCGTGTTTTCACACAATTCACTGCCGCGTGACCTTTTCTGTGAATATGTTAGTTGGTTGTAGTTTTTTTTGTTTTGTTTTTGTTACTTTTGTATGTTTGTGTAGTTTGTTCATAGTTATAGTTATGACCGGCTACTTTCGTTTACCGTAATTATCTGCAGTTAAATTTTTGAGCTACTGGTGTAACTGAAAAACTGCCTCGGAGTGCTTGCCTAATTGAGCTATTGCATTATGTTGCTGTGAATTTGTTACTGTGCATTAACTTTTTGTAGTCACTCGCTCATGGTAAATGAAAAGTTGTCGTTTTTGAAAAGATGTGTTTTGCTGACTTGTCGGTTTACCTGCCCATATCATAACAAAGTTTTATATTCCCTTCACCAGTATCATGCTAAGTAAAAAAAACATCAGGCAGATATAATTTGTCATATACCGTAGTCCCCGTATAAGTATTGAAAAGGAAATTGCAACATGTGAGGAAGAAATACATAGACCCAAACATCCATCTTCAAAGGTGAGCTTTTCATATCTATACAATCTTCACAATACTCCCTTTCTCCCAACGAAATCCATAGATAAGACCCTCGTCATGGCCGAGAACTGGAAAATGGTGGTAGCCTTTAGTCTGATCTGACCCAGAACTCGCGCTCCTTGATCCTAGAATCACCCTTTGCTGAGATCCACGTGGAAGTTGTACGCTGCTATTGCACTGTGAACTCTGAAATTCGGAAATGAAAAATACTTGTTCCATAGTGCTCTCAGTATTTTGCCATTAGACACTCGGGTAGCATTTTTTTGCGAATTTTCATATTTTTTGTTGCTGATTCAGCTTATCAGTTTCAGATGTTGAATAAAAATTTGGGTGAAACGACATGGCTTACGTTCATAGAAGGATCTTCTGGCTCGTCAATTCCATCTTGTCCATGACTTTCACCATTGCTAGGACCCCCGCTAGTGAGCTGCTCGAGTTTCCTGAAATTAGTGTTGTCTTCGCTACTCTAATTTCCCCATCCTTCCCACTTCCATCCTCAGTCACATTAAAAATACCTCGTAAGAGTATCGATTTCGTTAGCTAGTTGCTTCTTCTCGGTTTCCACTTTCTCGACTATATGCAGGAGCCGCTCTTCCAACTCTTCATTTCTGTTCTTCTGAAGCTCGAACTGCTCCTCTAATAGAGAATACTTCTTCCGCCAGTATTCAAGTTCAGCATCACTCATGTATATAGATGCAGAGCGTCCCTACACACGATTCTGATGTAGCACGGTATGTAGACGGTAGAACCTGCAATCGAGGATGCAAAAATGTAGTGGATAGCTATGCCACAATAAGAAGCGCATATTCCGCAAAATCAGATCGCTGGCTACACCATCTCAACAAAATTTGTCATAAGCTTGACCAGGATGGCTTATAGACAGTGGCTTATAGACAGTTTTTGAGGGGAGCGGGCGTTAGGTACCCATCGAGGTGCGGGCGTTAGGTACCCAGCCATTGGTGGTATACTTTAAGCCACGCCCCTTTGTTGCCTTGAAAGCGGGTATCTAACGATACAACGAATTTTAGCTGTCAGAACAGCTCACCTAGCTCGCTATGGCGCTGGCGCTTGCAACCTGTGAAAAAGAGATAATTCGAGGAAATCAAAAAGAAATTGCGCGAATGAAAGCTCAATGTTGTACAACCTTTTTCTACTGCTCCTTTTTTTCTCAATTTTAGAATCACAGAAATTCGGTGATGAAAGTCAAAAACAGAAAGCTTTCATGAGTACTTCACATAGTTATGCAAGGAAAAATGAAAAGTAAACTTTCTTGAATAATAGTAAACCAAGATTTCATGATTTTAATGAAGCAAAGCACACTTTCGGAGTTGCTCCTGGCACTTAGTTGCACGCAATATTCCTTTGTTTTGAAAAACTGTTCAAGAATTTTTTTGACAATGGGTAGTGGAACCGATTGGAAGATGAGCTTCAACGAGAACTTGTCATCCGAAATCAGGACTTTATGGATGTCTATGTGACCCATAATCTATGGAAAGAACACCAGCTCTGTTCCAATCAATGAAAATTTTGCATTATAAAGGGATTTTGAAGCCAATTTTGATGGGGTGTGTGCCAATAGAATGAAACAGGAAAAAGCAACAAATTCTACTAAGAGCAATTTTGACAAAAACCTCTCGCTTTTTAGTGAGTTACAAAAAAATCATAGCATTAATGCGATAAATTGATCATATCTTATCTGCTAAAAAAGAGAATGACTATGAAAGAATTGCAGTATTAAAGGTCTTCCAAAAAGCACTATACATAGACCTGATAAAACACAGTAGCTCAATGTAATTTCCACATGAAATGTGAAACCCTCCAAAATAAAAAAAATTATCAGTGTAATATTCCATAAACTGCTGGCCTCAGCAATGACCGAAGTAATAGCCTTAATAATCTAGAGTAATGTAGTTCACAATCCTTGTGGCAATATTAAAGGCAGCGTCCAGGCAGATTTGGACCTATGGGGCTTTTACGTGGAAAGTACTTTTGGGACCCTAACTAAGGCACTGCCCAAGCGGCAGCTCAGATAGTGCTCTAATGGCTGAGATATTCCTCTCGAAACTGGACCCCGCGAACGTATTCGCATGGATTCATGGCAGTTTCGCGCCAGGATCCACGCTTTGCGCCATGAATCCATGCGAAACACGGTCGCGGGGTCCACTTTCGAGGGGAATATCTCGGCCGTTAGGGCACTACCTGAGCTGCCGGTTGGGCAGTGGCTTAGTTAGGGCCCCAAAAGTACTTTCCACGTAAAATCCCCATAGGTCCAGACTTGCCTGGACGCTGCCTTTAACGCGCCTATAACTTCACACCTCAAAACGACGCCGACGACATTATGTGGTGAAAAGAATATACTGTGCAACTTATCTGCCAGGAACATCTCCGAAAGTGCGCTTCGATTCATTAAAATCGTAAAATTATAATTTATTGGAATTCTAAAAAGTTTACTTTTTAAAGATTCCCCCTGACATTATGGGTTAGATTAGATTATCAAAATTTTTTCTTGCAAAACTATGCGAAGTGCTCATATAAGCTTTAGCTCATCAGAGAATTTCTGTGATTCTAAAACTGATTTAAAAAAGAAGCACTAGAAAAACGTTGCGTACAAACCGCTGCTTTCATTCGCGCAATTTTTCTTTGTTTCCTCAAACTATGTCTTTTCTGTGGGTCGCAAGTGCCAGCGCTTTAGCGATCTAGAGAAGCTGTTCTAGCAGCTAGGATTCGGTGTATCGTTAGGCACTCGCTGTTGAAGAACCAAGGAGCGTGGCTTAGTGTATACCCCCAATGGCTGGGTACCTAACGCCCGCACATCGGCTCGGTACCTAACGCCACGCACCCAGTTTTTGATACTGATTACTCAACAAATTTTGGAAGCAGTAGAAAAGATTGTTTGACGCAAAGAGCATTAAGGCTCTACAATACAACACAAAAAGTAGTATATGGTAGTTTTGCTGCCAGAAATATTGTATCTCTCAAGTGAATTGAAGACAATTTGATCGCCATAATTTTCAACATCATCATCAGGTTCAAGCGTGGGGTCAACCGAGCCTAATTTGGGAAGTGTGGGAGAGAGGGGGGAGAGCATTTTAATGAGTACAGAATCTATTTATGAGATCTAAGGTGAAAAGGAAAGGCGCTAGACCGGTGAGTATCATATCCTCAAAAATCTGGTACGGCATTCTAAACGTCGTACTAAGTAAATGCACTAGAAGCACGGGACTTGGAGATTTTGCCTTGTGGAATGGGTGTAATTTTCGTTTCATCTAAGTTTACCGTAGGTCTTGGAGACCATAATACAATTCCTATAATGTACAGTCGAAAAGATTTTCCGCTCAATGTAAAATTTGCGCGTGAACACATATTTAGCTATGCTTGAGACGTCGGCCATGAGGTAGGCGCCAGACTAAGCGGCTGTTTTGTTCAGCCGCAGAAGTCGCGCAGAATTAACAGATTAAACGCGCAGATTTAACGTTGAATCTGCGCACGATTGCCTGCTTCAGCTGCAGGACCGCGCAAAATTATTGTCAATTCTGCGCGCCTTCCGCAGCTGAACAAAACAGTCGCTTAGTGGGTTGAGGACATTAGGTCGCCGAATTTGGAAGAGTCCCGCGCGGATTCCCTGCAGGAACGCATGTCCGCGTATGTACAAAGGTGCGTATTTGTCGCAAATGACCGCGGGGACCGCCCTCTTTCGGCGACCTAATGTCCTCCACCCTCGCTTAGTCTGGCGCCCATGCGAGTGGGTAAAATGTCTGCATTACTGACGTGGCTACTTGTTCACGCGCAAATTTTACCGCATTCTACCTGCAGTGAGGCACACTACACTAAGCGAAAAAGCTACTCGACTCTATGTCGTTTTTGAGATTGAAAAGTCATGTCGTTTTTGAGATTGGAAAGTCAATCTTTCCTATTCATAGCAATGTAATATCAATTAACTGATAAATATTTGTTAATCTTGCCTTATGTCGCTATCAAATAGTACACAAAAGTGCTAATAAAACCATATGTCTTAAGTGCTTTTACTCCATGGACCACAAAACAAGTAAGGTCAAACCTTTCTGGTAAAATCTAGAAGATTTGTGCGACCAATGACATAAAACTTGGCAGAACTTCTTCGAGAAGATAATAAGGTCAGACAACGGAAAACACGACCCTGGCCGAGTCGGGCTGCCTGAGCTTTTGGAGCCATTTTTGATGCGACTGGTAGTCTTGAATGAACTCGAGCAAATTATCCTCTTGAAAAGGTGTGACCAGTTTCAAAATCGGTCATCAAATTTATCAAATTCTATTACCCTTTTCACGTGTATAAGCCGCACCCTTTTTGCTCTAAGGCTCCCGCCAGAGTGCCGAAGCCATGCCAGCGCTACGCCAGCGCCGAGCCAGCGTTTCGATCGATACACGTGTATTTCGTTCGGGACATCTACCTGCTGAGAACTAGGTCAGCTAGCCCCGCCCCAACGAAATACACGTTTATCGATCGAAACGCTGGCTCGGCGCTGGCGTAGCGCTGGCATGGCTTCGGCACTCTGGCGGGAGCCTATCGCGAAGCGGTCGCCTCATCGCATACTGTTCTCATTCACTGAATTTGATGACAACTAGTCTTTTGGCGTGTTCGCCTTTAAAGTGAAAAGGGTGCGGCTTATACACCTGAAAATAGGGTACTGTATAGCAAAGTGCAATGGCCGCAAAAAGCTTCAAAGGACAGAAAACTCCTCAAAACATGTTGATTACACCATGGCAATCTGTAGGAAGAAAAGAGGAAGGAAGTCATTCAGGTATATGTGCACAAGAGGGGGTCATTTTTAAAGGACATGTGCCCTCACTTTGAACTTCTGACCCTGGCCATGATATACAAATAAATATAATAAAGAATGGCAAGGTTTTGCACTTACATGTTGACAAGTTGCGGACTGAGGCGAGTGATTGCCGAGGGTGCGGAGGGTGCAGATTGTTCTACAAGGCTAGCGTGTTTTCGTAGGGGTACAGGGGGTGGTAAATATCGTGTCTCCTCGAGGAGGCGTCCAAAAGGGGTGCGGTTCTTAAGTGCAAAAAGGCTATAGTTGGGAAGGGGCCGACACTCTCGTAAGGTTGCTAACAGTACCCCCCCCCCCTTCTTTCGCAAGTTTGAACTCTGCCGGTATGAATGATTCGGAACTCGCTGTCTAGCGTAGACATGCTTTAATAGTTCCTCAACGTTTACCCTTCGACTGCTCACATTTTCATTTTCCTGCTTAAGTTCTTGGCTGCCCATAATTAGTTAAAGTTCATAGCTGGCATAGTTGGTGAGAATTGATGAGGACAGTTCTCTGTTCTTGAAATAAGTTGGTAAGTCGTAAGGCTATTCTTATAGGTCTCTGCAATCATTTCTCACAACTCCAGTCTGTTCGCTGTTCATTGGGCATATCTTTCAATGCTTAATCTGTTCATAGGGCTCTTTCTTGATTTGTAGGTGCCAGTAAGGTAGTTCTACTAAAATTGATCTGTAAGCTCCCCTGAGGAGTTTTTTCGACAATTATCCAGTTAGCGGTTATTTGTAGGGTGGTTCCTTCTCAAAGTATCGGTCCGCAAGGGGAACATTTCATTTTCATATTTATAGTTCTAAAGGTGGACCATAATGCGCTTTTTTTTCAGATATGAATTTGAAGAGGAGCGGAAGGGCTCGTAGAATCGTCATACAATTAT